GTTATGGGGAAGTGAACCATGGACACCTGCAGGAGGTTGGGCTAGGCCAGGCCAGAGAGAACCAAGCAGGTTGCAAAGTCGCAGCGGGAGCATTGGCGGCTGAGGCCTGGAGAGGACAGAAGTAGGAGAAGAGCACAAAGAGGTAGGACGGGTGGGAGGCCAGAGCGTGTAGACCCTGTGACCTCTGAAATGAGGATGATGTGATGACAACACTGTAAGTCCTTGCTGCTGAAGTGAATTCAATAGAAGATCAGAGTAATGCATGGATGCACCATTAGAGCCTACGGTTATACCAGACAGAGATGATGGTGCTTGATATCTAGAACATTATTGAACGGGTAGAACTGGGATTGCTGACAGGTCAGACACCCAAGTTTCTGGTCTAGAACACTTTGGAGGGGATAGATTGCCATTTAGTTAGAATGGGAACGCATTTTGAGCAAGTTGGTGAATAAATCAGCTTCAATGTTTTAACATGTTAAGTCTGGTTTAACATCCAAAATGTGCAGTGTAGCTGGGTCTGAACGTCGAAGTCTGGAGTTTAGGGAAAATCCAGGCTGGAAATAAAGACAGGAGTACAGGCAGTTGTGTGCGGGAAATGGTTAACGGCTAACTCTGTAGGGGCTGGGGTTGGGGTGGAACCGATTTAACTTTTGCCAACATCTGTGGGGTCACTATTGCCCATGTGACCTATTTCAAACACACGTTATACAATACTTCACCGTGTAGATACATAGAGTTAATAATGTCAAGGAGCACAGATATTTAGTAAATAATGCTGTCACATGATTAGGAAGGGGGGTATGAGCGTTGACATTATTCCTTTGATTACAATATAATAATGTATAAATTTATATAATTCCATTTGCGATAATTAACGGCTGTGTTAACAACCGCGCTTGAAAAATTCCTGAAATCGAGCATCTCAACTTGTGTGCATACAAAGTTGCTTCCAATGCACATCCGTATTATAGAGACCGGATTGCGACCTGCAGGAGACTTCGCCGCTGCCTGGACGCATTCGGCACAGATGGGCAGAACAGGGAAAGGGGCAAGAGTGCAGGAGGAAGTACATGTGCGCATGACAAAAGGACTGCACATCACCTGATGCCCAGTTTAAATGGTATTTAGGTTTGATCTTCTACTCCATACATTCATCTTTAAATTCCCAATCATTTGAAGAAGGCTTTCTTCCTGCCTTGCACTCAGAATAGGCACGTCAAAGCTAGACGAGGGCAGCTGCCTCTGACCTCTTACGCTTCCGGTTTCCCACCACCGCTCTACCCCGTTGTCTGCCGGGCACAGAGGATTAGAACTGCTTCTCCTTTGTTACCGGAAACTCTCTGCAAGCTGGAGCTGTTGCACCAAGCTGCGTCAGTCTTGTGCCGGGCCTGGCAGGGCAGCTGCGTGGGTGGCGACCAGACGTCTTCCACCTGGCACACCAGACCAGAACCTGGATTCTGACCAAACCCCCTGGCGCCCAGTCAGTGGTGCCACCTTCTGGGATGTACGCGAGACCTTCTTGTAACAGGGAGCTACTCCCAGGAGCTGTAGAGCCTCTGGGGCTGGAGCGGGGACAGGGAAGGGTGCTGGGACTGGTACGTGCGCCCAGTCAGCCCTAACTTAAGGACGAGGCCCCCCTGGCAGAAGAACACCTTTTCCATACTACGGGCCACGGCGACTGTATTTGTAGTGAGTGTATTTCTGGCAGTATTTGGAAAGAATGTAAATGAAATTGCACCTCCACGCACTTAGTCATAACTTCCAAAGGGTTCTGTCTGTAACTTGCTGGAATGACGCACAGTCGCTCAGCTCTGCTTCCTATGTTAGTCTCTGTTCCCGCCCAGCTGGTTGGTCTGGGAGGCTCTAGGCACTACTGCCCTGTAGTAACTGGCGGAGGCATCTCCTGCACAACGAGGGAGGGGAATGCTCCCGTCCTTGGAAGACAATGGGACTTAGGGTGGTAAAATATGAACATCACAGAATCTTAGCTCAGCCTGTCATTTCTGATGAGGAAACTGAGGGCCTGGCCAGGTGAACAATGACTTGTTCAAGGTCATGGCTTGTTCTACAGCCTGGGCAAGGATCACCACGTATTAGTTCCATCAACCCTACCTTCCTACAGGCTTCTTCACACTTCTCACTCAGCTTTTTCTACTTATTCGTCAACAAAAGAAGGAATTCATATTGGATCGCCATTTGGAGGGCCACTTCCGTGCTTTGGGGCTAACTTCAGGGCATGCAATTTTAGGAAGTTATTTCACAGCGCCCTCGCGACAGGCATGCGAGGCGGAGGGAGAAGCGCTTCAAAGAAAATCCTCTCAAATGAGAAGCCCCCCCCATCCCTGCGGCCCTCATAAGGGACTGTCTCCGAGCGTCTGTCTTCAGTGCCGTCTGCCAGGGCGCTGGCGCTGCCTGCTGCGGAAGATCTGCACAGAACAGCGGTTTCCTGACAGCAAAGGTATTATGACTTTGGGGGCCCCAGTACATATTTAATAACACTTGTATATGTTTTGTCACCAGTATCATCCCAGTTAATCCTCATAACCCTCCTCCCCTTTAGGTGGCTGGTTCATTAGCCCTTTACAGACGAGGAAACGCGGGCCCAAATGGATTTCATATGCTGCATGTA